TTTGACTCTGTGCTTGTATCTTCAACATTTTCACAATGACTTTCTGCTCCTTAATGAGAAATGCATACTCGATCCCTCTGTGGACACATTTACCACACTTGGAACCACCAAGTAGCCACCAGCAGTAGGCTCTGCTGATATGTTGTTCTGTTTTAGAAAACGTCACAAGGGTACAAATTCCTTGAAGTCAGACTGTGCATATATCATGTGTGGATTTTTGGTGTTTTCCCAAACTTCTTGTCATAAAGGTAAGCAGTACTATTAAATAGGGGTTTGGGACAGCCTCATTTTGTTAGAGGCTGTATTGTAGGATAACCTATGATGGTATTTCAAGTGCTGGACCATTCTGAATACCTTTAGACAGAATTCCAAAAAGAGGAAAAAGAAACACCTGTGTCTATCTTGACATACACCATTGTAAATCTAGTGCGTACCACAGAGCTCAGTACAGAGAAGGTGCACATTTGAAAGTATCAATGTCACATTCTACATAATTCTGTTTGTGAGTGGCTTTTAAATTTTTTTTTAATAAATTTTATTTAAGATGTATTTATTTATGCATACAGAACTGTGGTACAGGCCAGAGGTGCAGGAGCAGTGAGAGGATTCACCAGAGACAGAGTGGGGAGCAGAACAGGCAGATCGGTGAAGTACACTACTGAGGGAAGCAGCGGGCGGGTCAGGAGAGGTCTGCTGCGTCATGTGGGTCACCTCCAGGTGGGGATCAAACTCATGCTGAAGTGGCCTTAGCATCCTAGTGCTGTGCTTTAACCTGCTGCACCACCAGGGCTTTCATTTTTAAAGAAAACAAACTAAATATGGCCTCCCTGGTAGTACAAGGGGTTAGTTGCAGCACTATGACGCTATCCGTAGCCAATGCAGCAGAGTTCAATCCCGGGCCAGGGAGCAAACCACAGGGCTGCAGTCTTCTCCTATCCTGGCCACTGTTTACCTCAGCACTGTATTTCAGTCAAAACAGTCACTGCCTGTTTTGCAACCCACTCTGTCTCTGGCGAATCTTCTTACCCCCAACACATTCAGGCTGGAGATGATACCCCGAATCAGATATTCAGGTTGGAGATGATACCCCAAATCAGATAATCAACCTTTGTTGTTGTTCTTGCTGTTACATTGGTGTGAGGGTCCACATGAGGGGTAGAACAGCCTGTTTTGCTATAAAGGGAGACTGAGGTTCCTATGGAGAAGATTTCAAGTGACAAATAGGATGTTTGAATATTTTTTAAATTTTTGTTTTATTTATTCATAGAGGGACTGGGGTGTAGGCCAGAGGTGCAGGGGGTGAGAAGATACACCAGAGGCAGACTGGGAAGAACAGGCAGATCTATGGAAATACACTGCTGGGGGGAGCAGCAGGTGAAGACAGGAGAGTTCTGCTGTGTCAAGTAGGTCAGCTCCCTGGCTGGGATAAATCTCAGGCCACAGTGGTTGATGCTATAGAACTTCATAGTGCTGAGACTTAACTCCTTGCACCACGAGGGAAGTGCCAAATGTTTGAATATTTTTAAGCAATAAGAGACCTAAGAATTTGAGAAATTTTTTATGTATTATAAAATACTTCAGACAGAAGAAATCTTAATATATATTTCTACTCACTTGTTTTACAGATGCAGAACTAGAAATTCTGAAAGTGAAATGATTATCCATTAGTAGCAGATCTGGACTTGGAAACAGGGTTCTCTGTGTCTTAGCCTATTATCGTTTTTCTTAAAAATTTATTTTTATTAATGCATATGAGAACTGGGGTCTAGGCCAGAGGTGCAGGGAATGAGAGGATTTACCAGAGATAGAGTGAGAAACAAAACAGACAGATCTACTGGAATACACTGCTGAAGGAAGCAGTGGGCAAGACAGGAGATGTCTGCTGCACCATGTGGATCAGCTCCCTGGCTGGGGATGGAACTCAAGCTACAGTGGCTGGCGATAGCTTGATAGTGTTATCAAGCTATCAGGAAGGGTCTTTTTTTCTTTTTTTTTAAACTCAGCAAAAATTTACAAAGTATGAGATCTTTACTAAAGAGGATTCAGGGAAATAAAGATACATATTCACAAGCCAACAGGACACTGAGTGGCTATTTGCAACTAACTTCTATGTGTTGACAGGTTTTATATTATAAAGTGTATGTTCTTACTGTATACTACACAGGTAGTTTATACAGTGACTCCCCCTCCCCCTAAGTTTCTTGAACATGATACCTTAATATCTTGGACCTTGGTCAGTTGTGCTCTTAAATATTAAAATATGCTCTGAAATATTAAAATATTTCAGTCTAGCACAGTTTAACTACCATACAAAATGAGTTAATCTACTAGCTTTTGGAAAAGATATTAGAGATTTCCCATGCTTCAATAATAGGAATAATTCTTGTAGTCAACTCTGGAACAAGGGGGAAATGATTTGCTTTACTCAAAAAAAGGTGTCCAAGGAGTGACTGCTTGCTACACCCCCTAGCTGTGTTCCCCCCCTCGCCCCCCCCATGCCCAGGGCATCAGTTTCTATGTTTAGGTTATGGTCATGTGCAGAGCTGAGTACCCAAAATTGAGTGAAGGCCACCAGAATTGAGTGAAGGCCAGCTGAAGCTGAAGCTGGGAGAGTAGCTGGATCTGGCTGTGGACACAGGGGGGAAAGATTACCAAGGGTTTTATCGATCTAGTTAAGGATGATCTCAAGAGTTGTAAGAAGGTAAGGAAGGGTTTAGGCAGGTGTCTTATTAGCAAGTAAAAGAGATGAAGGTCCAGAGGTGGGTGGGTGGGTGGATGGATGGGGGGTATTGGAGAAGAGAGGGAGAGAGAGGGAGAGAGGGAGAGAGAAGGGGGCTGAGGGGGTGGAAAGAGAGGTGGGGAGAGAGAGAGAGAGAGATGGATTAGGAAAGCTTCAAGAATGGATGAATGAGGAAGCTGGACAGGTGGTAAATGATGGTTTTTATTCCCTGGTTGAAATATATAGAGCAGTGGAGTTGAGTTAGCCAGGTATAAGCCTGACAGGGTTTGACTAAGTAATATGGGGGCGGGAGAAGGTAGTGTCCCAGATGACTCTGGTTTCCAATTATTCCTGCTAAATGCAAGTGGGCAATGTTCACTGAGGTGAGAACTATGGAGATGGACCATTATGGTGCAGATCTTGTGTCAGGTTTTTAAAATGTCTAGTAGGCCTAGAGAATGGTTAGATAAAGGAATTAGAGTTCTGGTCTCCCTGGTGGTACAGGGGTTAAAGTATCCAGCCTGGGACCTGACCCACAGGCCACAGCAGGCCTCTCCAGTCCCAGCTTCTGCTTCTCTCAGCAGTGTATTTCAGTAGATTCCCCTGTTCTGATCTACAATCTGTCCCTGGAAATCCTCTTACCTCCCTCTCCCCCACCTCTACACCCCAGTTCTTGTATGCATCAAGATAAATCATTAAAAAAATAAGAGTTCTTAGAAAAGCTGAACATTTTAAATGTGGGAGTCTTATAGGCTATATTTCTTGGGTAGAGGTACTTTTCCCCCTTTTTTCAAAAGCTATGTTGCCTCCAGAAAGGTTAAATATAAAGTGTCAGATGGCTCAGATGTATTATTTTTATTCTCTAGTCTGTAAAATATTATCTACAACTTTCAGATTATGAACTGAGATCCCTATTGTTGATTAGCTGAAAGCCATCCTACCTACATGTATAACAGTAAAGAATTTTAGGTGGTGAGCTCTCAGATCCTTGCTACACAGGTTGATTAGACAGAACTTTAGTCTAACCAACCTATGAGAATAATCTAGTACTTCATGTGCTTAAGCATCTAACTTCTCAAATCACTGATTTGCTGTCATATCATGGAACTTATTTGGGGAACCAGTGGGTTCTTAAAAATACACTTTAAAAAATCAAAGGCCACTTATTTTTCATTAGAGCTGCATTGAATAAAATTAGTATCCACATTGCATCTGAAATTCAAATGTCTTTGTCTGGTCTTGTACTAGAAAATGATTACAAAGGAAATGTCACTCCACCTAAGATTTAGTTGCCAACATATTCGGGAAAAAAACAGATATTTCCTCACAGTTGTCCTCAGTACACAGCTTGCGCTACTTTCAAGTTGCTCACACTGAGCTAGGAGGAAGCCCTCAACTGCTTAAAAGGCCAGGGACCAGAGCGGGGTGTTGCACAACTCTTCGCCACCGGGAGGTTTCGCTTCCAAATCTGGCCTTCACATCATCCCCAGGCGAGAGCCGCGGCTCGCTGCACTGGGCCAGCCCGGTTCCCCCTCGCGGGCGGCCGGGGTTTCCTCGCCCTAGCCCGGGCGCCCCTCCCACCGCCCCGGGTTCCCTGGGAAGCGTCGCCGCCCCGGCGCGGGCCCCGGGTCGTCCTATTGTCCGGTCCAGGAGACCCGGCGCCCGGGAGCGACTCCGTCCTCCAGTCCCGCCGGCCAGGTGGACCAAAGGTCTGTGGGTCCCCGCGCCGGCCCCCTCCCCCGCCGCCCCATTGTCTGCCTCGCCCCGCCCCGGGGGACACGTGCGCCTGCAGCTTTCCAGCGAGGAGAGCGCGGGGCGGCAGCGGCGTGGACTCCGCCTGACACGGCTTCGTGGCCGCGGAGCGCGGCGCGCACGGACCGGTAGGTGCCCTCTGGGGAGCAGCAGCAGCCCCCTGTGCCCCCGCCTCGGGCCCCGCCGGCCCGGGCCGGTCGGGGGTGGAGCGGGCGGGAGCTCAGTGGGGGAGGCATGCGCGTGGTGCTGCGGTGGGGGGGGCGGGGCGGGGTGGGGAGATGCCCGTCTCCTGACAAAGGAGAACGAGTGGGACACGCCGAGCGGGCCCGCCCCGCCCCGCCCCGCGGAGCGGAGCGGGAGGGGGAGTGTCGGAGGGGAAGGGGAGGGCCTTTCATTCACTGTCGGCCCCTCCGCCGCCGCGGGAGCGGAAGGGCGGGGTCTCCCGGCTCCTCGCGGAGTGAGCGGCGAGGGCGGCGACGGGGCGTGGGGGCGGAGCCCGCGGGCGCGCGTCCCGAGGCGTAGGCTACGTCGTCACGTCAGCGCGGGAGAGAGAAAGAGCGAAGCCGACTCGGCAGGGACTGGGGACGGGGACGGGAGAGCGAGCGAGCTAGCGCGGGAGGGAGAGAGAGCGTGCGGCCGAGGAGGGGAAAGGCGGCCACTCTTGGCTTGAGCGGCCGCGGAGGAGAGTGGGAGCGGCGGGGGAGAGGCGTAGGGAAGGGCAGAGGGAAGGCCGAGAGAAGGAGCCGACGGAGGGTGCCGGTGGTAGTGGTGGTAGGGGGAGAAGGAGGAGCCGGAGGAGGGCTGGGGCTGAGTGAGTGAGTGAGAGAAGCGGACGCGCGAGGGAGGGGAGAAAGGGGGGTCACGCGGGGGCGCGCGCGCACCGGGAGCGCGCTCGGAGGCGAGTGGAACTGGATCGGGTTTGCTGCCAGCGGCGTGAGCTTCGGCCGCCATTTTACAACAGCTCCACTCGCGCCGGACACAGGGAGCAGCGAGCACGCGTTTCCCGCAACCCGATCTCTTCGGACAGGATTCCTCCGCCGCAGCCCAACGGGGAGGTAACGGCCGCCGGGACCCGGGTCTGGGCGAGGGGCTCCGTGACATTGTGAAGTGAACTGGGGGAGGGTGGTGCGGGGAGAAACCGGCTTTTCTGGAAAATGGATTCCAAGGGGGTGAGGAGCACGCTGACTGGGGCTGCCTGGGAGTAGGCCGCGGCCCGCGCCGCCACTTCCTCCTCCCCTCCATGTGCTGC